ATGGTGCAAACGGGGGGCGGTGGAAGGGTCAAGTGACCATCAAGATTTTCTGTTCCATGCACCTGCAGTGCGCATTCTGCTGCAGGCATCTTTGAGATGGGAAAATCGGGGCTCCTTCGACCCAGATATGTGGAACTCCGATGAGCGCTGCCATTTCGTTCTTGGCTTGCACGATGGCCGTCAGTGTGACGGCATGTTGTAAATCTTGATTGCGTTGTCTAGGCACGCTACCTGCTCTCGAACAGGCAGTGATCAATATAAGGGAGAGACGAACATAGAGGAAACAATTGATTGATACTGCACGGATACGGCATCGGAGACCAACCCGCCAGCTTACCCTAAACACGCCCTCCTCATTCTCACTCTCATGCTTCCACCTGCTCTATGCACCAACACACCCTCTACCGCCACCATCTCACCTCCCCAACCTAACTCCATCATGTACATACCAAGCAAAAGCAACGTCCATGCCCATCTATTAATAACGACGCGAGCCAGCAAATTTACCCGCTCGAATAGCAGCCCATCTCCTCAACGCCACTGGGATCAATTCCCATCTGCCAAATTCATCAATGTCCTGCTGACCCTTACCTCTCTCTTCCCCGTGACCCTTTTTTCGTCTTCCTTTTCCTTTTTACCCAGCCCGAGGTGACTATGCATACACATACTCGTACCTTCGCGAGATCAAAATCAAACACCCGCTTCTAACCGTCACCTGTATCCCTCGATGAAAACGGGCCACCACCACGCCGAGAAGAGGCTCCACAGCCCTGCATCCCCAAACCCATGCCGCTGATCCAGGAACGCACTCTCCTCCTCTTCCTTCCCACTCACGATGTACACATCCGCTGCACGGGACGGTTCTACCCGAAGTTGGAAAGTAAAATTGCCTTTGTAGATTTTCGGTACGCCTTCTACCGTCACGTACGTACTACCTATATAGTATAGATTGGGGGGGGTATACACAGTCTCGGCTTCCTTGCCCCTCCCGCAACGCCTGGGTTGGTGTTCCTCTATCGCCCTGTTTTCTTCTCCTGTTCCCCTATGGTGGACTTGGAGGGACGAGGGCTGAGCCGATTCTAGTTGGTTTATGCTTTTTGCTGCCATGCTTTGAATTTTCCCTCATGAAGACAAAAGAAAAGAAGAAGAAAAAGGACGGATGATGAAGATGAAAACAAGCAAGAAGAATGGTGGGCGGAAAGGAAGAGGAAGACAAAAGTGAAATAATGGCATGTATGCTCCTACTCCTTCCGATGTCCGTTTAGCTCTTTCGGCTTCTTATCCTCCTCGCCTTGGTGGGCATGCTCGTGGATGAACTCGTCGAACCGACCGTTGATGGGCTCCTGCACCGAGACGAACCGCACGCGGACCCGCTTGACGCCCTTGACCTTGGCGCCGACGGTCTGCCGTATCTCGTCCTCCATCCTGCGCACGTGCTCGACGGACCACGATCCGGGGACGGCCATCTCGAGATCCATCAGGTAGTTCTGCCCGGACTTGATGCCGCTCACGTCGCGGAGCTCCACGTCACGGCTGTCCTCGAGGCTGGCGATGGCGCGCTGTGCTTGCTTGCGGACCTTGCCCTTGACCTCGGGGTCGACGCCCTGGTCGGCCAGCTCGCGCAAGGCGTCGGCCATGTTGCCGGCGCCGGCGTGGATGACCATGAAGGAGATGAGGAGGCCGCCGACGGGGTCGAGCCAGCCGGCCGTCTCGATGACATTGGCGCCGACGATGGCGGCGAGGGTGACGATGCCCGTTAGGCTGTCGACGCGGTGGTGGATGGCGTTGGAGGCGAGGACGGAGGAGTGCTTCTCACGTGCCACTTTCATGGCTGTGGAGATGTGGAGGTTAGCTCATGTTTCGACGGGAAAGCTTGGAAGGACCGTGACGTAGGTGAGGAAGTCAAAGACGAGTAATGGGGAAATCGTTGGGCTGGGGGGAAAGCAGCAGAAACCAATTGGATCACTGGCCCCGACTGCGAGTAGTTATAGAGAGAGACAGAGAGAAAAGTTGAGGCACTCACTAGCATGATAGAGCCATTCCTTCACGACCACCGTACCAGCAGCCAGCCACGCAGCGTGAATACTGGGTATCCCCAGGGCGGCAGGGCTGTGCGAGTGCGAGTGCCCATGTCCATGCCCAATGTGCTCCATGAGAGTATGCGCCGCCGCAGGGTCGAAGTGGCCGTAGAGACTGATGGCACTCTCCCATCCCATGTAGCAGCCTCCGACCAGCAGCAACCCGGACACGCCCAGCGCGCCCAGACTCTCCACCTTGCCGAAACCCATGGGGAACTGTTCGCTCGGGGGCTTGATGCTCCAGGAAACGGTGGCCAGGGTGAGGACATCTGAGGCCAGGTCGGTCATGCTATGCCAGCCGTCGGCAACCATTGATTTCGAGTTGAAGGCCCAGCCGCCGACGAACTTGGCAACGGCCATGAGCAGGTTGGAGACGAGCCCGATGTTTGTTATCCGAACGCCGGGGTCGCTGCGGTCTTTGGAGAGGAGATACGGGTTGTCGTGGTGGTGGTGGTGGCCCAGGCCGTGGGAGTGGCTGTGAGAATGGCCGTCGTCGTGATCGTGTTCATCGTGGTCATGGTCGTGGTCGGGGTCGGGATTTTTATTTGGTTTGGAGGAGGGAGGGCGCGGCGGGTGGTGATCGCCCCCATTGTCGCGGATCTGGTGTGCGGTGCCCATGACAATGGCGGGAAGATATGTGTATCGCAGCCGACGCTGGCGGCCGCCGAGCAGCAGACGAGGAAAAGAACGACGGAGCGAACCGGGGTCGACGGGGGGCGAGTAGGACGAGGACGAGGACGGCGGCGAGGACGACGATGAGGGAGGGGAGGGCGAGGACGAGGACGAGGAGGTCTGGAGGCCACGTAGTTGGAGATGCTGCTGCGGTATCTGGCTCTGGTGTGGTGGTGTCCTGCTCTGGACGCGCAGCGGATGGTTCGGGCGGTGGTCACCTTGATGGCCCAGCACACACGCTGAAACAGGTGCCGGGCCACCACCTACCACCGCTATCGCCCTCGCTGCGGCGGCGGCTGCTGTTGCTACCCTGCGTTTCCCGCCGCTGACAACGACGCACCGCAAGGCTGAGCGCCGCCCAGCCAGGGGAGACATGCAGCACTGGACGCGCGGAGGGAGGCCGGCAGAGGAAGAAGGCTGCGAGGGGGGGACAGCGACGAGGAGGAAGAGGGTGGCAGAGTTGGGACGAGAACGGGCAGATCGGGATGGTCTGGCTGAGGATGGGATGGATGGCCCAGCGCGGAAAGGCCAGTGCCAAGCTCAAGCTCAGGCACGACACCACAGGCACACACGGCCGAGGCCGACCTCTTTTTTTTCTTGCTTCTTTCTGGATTGGTCTTTTCCCCGATTGGCTTCTTAGATCGCACAGCTGCGGGCACGGATTGGCTAATCACCTCGAGCTGTTTGTAAGAGAGAGGAAGAGAGAGGACGAGTGGGTGGCGTAGCGCACCAGCACCAGCAGCGCTGTAGCGGGCTGTAGCGGAGGGTTGTAGTGGGCGGTAGAGGCAGAGGCAGGTGATGGCGAGAATTGATGGAACTCGGGCGAGCTGGCGCGACAAGGGGAGAAAAACTGATGGAGAGCGATGCCTCTCCGAAGCTAGAGCACGGCGAGTCTATGGGGACATCATGCCAAAATCCAAGGTAGGTCAGTAGGCATCAAACCAGTGTTGGCGAGGTCGGCGGCCCTGCCAGCGGACGAGGGGTTTCTGTCTAGCGCATCGATGAGTGTGTCCAGGTAAATAGGTAGCTGCGGTGAGGAAGGGTTTTTTCCTTCTCCTCTGCTGCTCGACTTGCCGCGTCGTTCGATTTCTTGTTCGCATTTACGTACGTACACGGCCCGAGTTCGGACTTTGGCTGGCGCTTTCAGCTAGTCCATGTCCATCGCGAGCCAAAACGCTCGGCATTTTCAACATCCCAGATTGATAAGCGTCACGGCCGCCAACTTGCTGACCCGACGCTGGCTCAGCAATCCGCAGCCGTCAAACTCAATTCCTCGTTTCTCGATCGAGCTGTTGGTTCTCTCAATTGGCTTCCTTTCCCTTCCCCCCTCGCTCGCTCGCTACCTACCGCCCCCCGAGCTTCTTCGGCCTCTCATTTCCATTTCCCGATTTGCCATCGCGCAACTCGGAGCCAGGCTCGGAGGTAGGCGGCTCATGGTGCCTGCCTACATACCTGGTACATCAAACATGCTGGTAGTGTGTGGGGTTTCCTGCCAACCCCAACTCCAACTGCCCCGAGCAGCCAACCCATGATGACGACATGGTTTACAGAAGGAGCCTCGCGGTGTAGCGCTTGCAGGGGTGATTCAGGAACGATGCTGCACCTGAATCCCGTCTCCTCTCGTCGAACGAAGCACAGAGATTTGGTGCCTGTCCAGCGGTTTCTGGCGGGGCACGATCCCACTCGCCTACCAGTAGATGCCTCATCCAGCACCTGTTCCGTACAATGGAATCAATGTGCAACCTAGACTCCCAAAGCAGCCGGGCAGGCGTCAGCCTCTGCGAATCTAGGGGGCCTTACAAGCTCCGTTAGCGCCAGTGGCCCCGGGCATTATCTGATGATCTGATAAGGCACCTTGATTTAATTCCATCTCGGATCGCGGAGATGCCGGCTACAGCGTTTGACTAAGGTATTCACGCATCTGTGATTGGGTGACTCTGCATCCAGCTCGAGATCTGTCCATCTGGCACCTACGGAGATGGGACGACATCATTGCTATGGGCATATGGTGGCTCAGCGCCTTGGTAGAGACGTCCAGCCACGATCACCGTGACTGGTTCCGTCCTGTCACGTACACTGGAGCATCTCATTGGGCGTGCGGGACAAATACTGCCGGTATCAATTGCTCGCTCCCTCACTCTCGGTTGCCGGGTCTGGAATGGGGCGCAAGTGCTAGCTAAATAGGTACGCTGAGAAACCTCCCTCGGGCCCAAGTCTCTGGTAACCCACGCTCTCACCCCATTTTGAAGCTTAGGGAAATGGCTTCCACGAGGAGCAAGCTACCGAGATGGTCGGGTCGAAGTAATGCGCCCCTCCCATTGCGACGGCGTTCCACCTGTCGTTCATGTTAGCAAAAATGCAGCCGTCCAAGATGACCATCAGCCCTCTTACAATCCGAAGGTGTCCTCAGTGTCCTGTACTCGCATTCTCGGTTCGTTGCCCTCGACCTTGGTGTCCAATATTCTTTGGACCAATTCCCGGACAGACTTGGAGCAACCCAAGCCGCCGGTCAGGAAAACACGCTGAGGGTGCTGTTAGCACGGAAGAAACCACCTAGCCATTGAAGGAGGGGCTGCACTTGCCTGGACTTGACGGCCACCGTTCTCTTCGCGCTCGTGCTTGGCAAGTTTGGAAATAGCGTCTACCATCTTTTGACATTCCGGCATAAGAACTCCCTCCAAGTCCATCCTGAGAGAATTGTATTAGAACACGCGCAACCCGGGACTGAAAATGTGGTACTCGTTGCGATATCTCTCAAGGAAAAGGACGTGGTGGATTAGAACAGTGCGTTTGCACGTGGAGCAAGGAGAGGACTGAAATGGAACTATGACAAGAACACTCACCGACCGATGCTGGCTTGCATTTCATGAAATATGAACGGATAGCCTCCTCCCATTCGCACAAGAGGTCGTTCTTTTATAAAGGAGTGCCACTGGATCATCAAAGAGGATTTGACCCCTTTAGCATGCTCATGGTCGGGCTCTGATATCTGAGCCATGAGCTCACTCAATTTTCTATCAACCAACCTCTCGAAATTGCGGTCTATCCAAAGACCACCTCCGAGAACCGAGATGGAGCCAGTTGTCGGCGTGCCTCCGCATGCCGGGTCGAAGTGCCTGAACGCTGCCATGTCCTACGGCCCCCGTCAGCATATTCAGCACTTCAAAGGTTCAAGCAAATACTGACCAATGTTATACCGCCGCAGTCGGCGACAATTACCGACTCGCGTTCCTGATATGAACGGGGTGAGTAAAATCCGAACGACCTGGTGTTCCATCACACGAGGTAGGGAAATGGATCGTGAACCTACCGCGAGAGCCATCTGAGCAACCTCAGGGCATCTATGGAGCAGACCTGCCAATGCAGCTTGGGACTCTACACCAACATGTACGTCCCGGCAGCGAGATAAGATATTCGAGTAAGCCAGTCCTATCTTCAACGTGTCCTTAGCCTTGTCTCTCAGGTTGGGAAATGTCACCACCGTAGTGATGGATTCCTTGGGAGCATCAGACTTGTCAATGGCCGCCAAGGCTAGCTCGTAGAGCTTCTTGATTGCGATTCCGAAATACTCAGCCGCGAAGCCAGCATCGCCGGCTCCTTGCCAACCGTTCTTGACCCATGACTGGATCTCACGGAAGTCTCCTGTTTCCTCGAACCAACCTGGGTCGGACAGCAGAATCTCCAGTTTTGCATTCTTCACCACGTGTTTATCCGGAACATCCTGGTCTGGGCCCACAAGTTCGATTCTATTCTCGGGAGAATGAATAAACTTTGTCGGGAACTTGTTGACCGGAGCCTCTTCGATAACTCGAAAGCATCTATGTTCCTGACAAACCCATGCATGGACGGCAAAGGCCCCGGAACGGCTTATGACATATAACTGTTTTAGCATATCTGGAAGCATCCTAGTGGATGAAGGCTCTGACTAACGTGGTTCCAAAATCCAGGCCTAGGAATATGTGCTTTCTCCTGAAATTGCATTCCATGATGTGGGGGGGGGATGTAGAAATAAGGTGGGTGAAGAAGGAAGAAGGGTGTTTAAAGGGACAATAAGAACTTGAAGAGAAGCGAGGAGCACTGCGTCAAGGTATTGAGTTGTGTGTTTAAAGAAGGGACAATGGGAACTTGGAGAGAGGTGAGGAGCGATGCGCCCTTTTGTAACCACAGCCTTTGCCGACGTCTGCTGTGGCCCTCGTGAAAGAAAAAAGGTGTCCTCAACATATCCCCCAAGAGCACAACAAGTAACTCAGACCGGTCCTGTTGGGCAAGGCACGACTGCGACCTGCAGCCTCCTAGTCCGAGAGCTATGCACTGCACAACCAACCGAAGCACTTCAAACATGTGTCTCCGTGGTTATTAAAACTCCTGATACACAGCCTGAGCCATTGCTGCAAAGCAACCCGGCGGGTCGAGGGGACTCTGTCCTAACATGCTGTGTCTCCTGGCTCTGAAACTGTATAGATGCAGCCAACCACTCCTCCAAGGCAACCAGAAGGCTATTGCTGCAAAGCAGCCCGAAGGGTTGAGGGGATTATGGCCTAACATGCTGTGTCTCCTGGCTCTGAAACTGTATAGATGCAGCCAACCATTGCTGCGAGGCAACCGGAAGGGTTGAGGGGACAGACATTACTGCGAGGTAACCCAACGGGTTGAGGGCACCCTAGCTTGAAAAGCTGTGTTCCCTAGTGTCGGAACTTTGTTAATGCAGCCAGCCATGGCCTGGAATGCTGTGGCCCCCAGAGGTACAACTCCGTGGGTGCAGCTGCAGACGGCCTGCGTGGAAGATGTTGTAGCAGCGCCATCTCCACCGTGTGACAGTCAGCAGCATTTCGCTGAAACTCCCCAGCCGGATCCCATCCACGCTTACAGAGACGAGGGTACATGTAGAAATGTGTTATTATGATATCGCTTTACGCTGGGGGATCTCCATCAGGGCAAAGGACGTCTAGTCACAGCTAAAAAATGCAAGGAGCTAGCTAGGATGCTCTACTTTTAGGAATGCCATCTAGGTCAAGAACACAGCAGTTGCAGATCTTCACATGGAAATGCCCCTTACAAAGCGATTTAATAACTAAAGAGGCCAAGCAAGACAGTCAACATTGAAACTAAAGGTGATCTAGCTAGAGCATCCGCGATAACATTGCTGTATACCTGGGCAGGAACCCTTGGATTTGCCGCATCGGGTCAAAACGATTCAAATCATGAACAGAAAAACTAGCGGCAGTACACTACCATACTAATCTCCTCGGAAACTTCATCCCAACTTCTACCGAAGGGGCACAAGACACTCTCCGCTGGGCGCTCCTCAGGCCCAAACGTCGTGTTCTTGTTCTTGCCGTAGGCGAGCAGTGTTGGGAACATGACGAAGTCGACCACCTTGTCCATGCCGACCCTTCTCCTTTGCATGGACGCAATGCAGGGCGTCATTTTGTCAGGTACGAAGGGGAAACCGTGGTCTTTGTGGGTGGCAGAGTCAGACAGCCGCATTTTGATGTTCCGCCGAGCTGTGATGATCAGGCTATCCATGTTGATGGCGGATTTCATCAACTCTTCCCATTCGTATTCGTGTTCGGATTGATCCGTCTCTGAAGCAAAGGGAAGATGCTCCATCCACTCTTCAATCTTCTTCCGTAGCCAGAGAGGGTCGACATGACGCCGCTCGGGATGCATGTCAGCCAGTGTCTGGACGGAGAGATTACGCCAGTGGTGGTACTTGACAGCGAACAAGCCATTTGGCTCGCGTAAATGGGCTACATGTATCCGGTTAGTTCAATGAGAAATAAATAAACAACATGGCGCGGTGCAAACCTTTGCCAGACGCCCAGATGGCGCCAAAACTCTGCCAATCTGGCCCGTCCCACTTGTCTCGGTCTTTGCCAGAGAACAAATGGCGATCGAGCAGGCGAAACAGCCAGGCGGCATAAAAACTAGTCACATCGGGTGACAAGTTCGAGTTCAGGTAATCCTCGGGATTCGATGCCCATGTCCGGACTTCTTCTTGGTGTGTGGTGGGTAGTTCATCCCAGGAGCATTTGGTTGGGAGACAAAATTGCGCAAACGCTTCAACAGCGCACTTGAGGCGACTCCAAAGGGCAGATATTGCAATCTCCTCAGTCTGAATCAGAGTTTTGTAGGTCGTAAAGTGAAGGGCCCACCGTGGTGCTTGATCTTCTTCAGAAGCAAGGACGTTGGCGTGGGCCTGGACAGGAAGGCTTGGGCTTGTGGGCTCTCCTGGAGCAGCACTCTCATCGGTAAGAGGTGGCAAATGAGGTGTAGAGGAGAGCTTCGGAGCCTGACTCGGGTGGCTTACAGCGCCGCTGCTGTCGCTGCCAGCGGACGAGTCGACGGTCTGCTTTGGAACATGTTCATCCTCTCCGTCGCCGTGGTTAGGGAGGAGGCCTAGCCTTTCCGTGGCAAGAATATCCGTACCGGGGGGAGGGAGCGTTATGTGAGGTTTTCGGAGAGACTCCAACTCTTCGCCGGGGGGTTCACGCTCATGACGCTTAGGCTTGGGGAGAGTATCAGAAGCATCAGGGGATGACGAACGCTTGGGCGACCGTGACAATGCGCGGCTGGCCGAATGAGCTATCTGGATTTCCGGAGCGCTCTCCTCGCCACAGGCAGGGAGCTCGGTGCACTGGCTTTGTGGCGGCTCATCTTTTCCATCATCAAGCTCAGGATCGTGATGCTGGGTAAGAGTATCCCCAGCCTTGAGAGCGGCGGGTAGATCTGGGACGGGGTTCAACCCTGCCGTAGTGACGCCATCCTTGGCCTGAGTAGAGATTGATTCGGTGTACGTCGGTAGGGGTCCATCGTTATTCTTGCCAGCTTCACTCTCGGTAGAATTCAAGAGTGGCTGAGAAGCCTCGGAAGCCTCGGAAAGCGAGGGACGTTTGGGTGACTGCGACATCGTGATATCGTACGGATGATTGGAGAAACCGAGTTTGTAACGTTTCCAACTGTAGTTATAAAGTTTCCAACAGTCAAGGTTGTTCTGGGCTCCAGGGGGAGAGCTGGGCGTGCTGGAAAGGCCACGTCTACTTAGTTGCTCGTCTTGATGCTCGCTTTGTTGCCCACCTCGTTGCTGAAGCCAACACTGGGAGTGTGCACGAGTGTGTCAATCACCCCTTGAGCCCCAGCGGCACGCCATCAAACGACGTTTGTACAATTCAATACAATTGTGGATGCAGCCTTGGTACTTCCAGGCCTGACGTGCACACGAGAACAGGAGGGGTTTGTCACACACACGGCTGCATTATGCCGACGCCGATGGCCACTGTCCATCCATGATGCGTGTTTGTTTCGAATGTTACCGTGATGCAGGTTAGTTTTCGTGTGGCTTGCATGACAATCACCTTCTCCGCTCAGCTCCTCCCGCCATCTCATCCTCAAGGCACAACAGCTGAAACCGTGCACAGAGTTTTCGACCGGCCAAGACGCCACATTGGGCCAACGCGCGTTACGCTGCCCGTTTGTGCAATCAAAGCTGCCACCCGAGTGGTTGGACAAAGGAGCTTGGACAGGCTATCATAGCCAAGTGTCTGCGGTGACCAACACTAGCAGCTGCAAGGCAACCAGCGCGGCATTGTCATCTCTCTCACCGGTCCACGGGTGCTGCAGGTCGCCGCCACCGATGCCGGGGAGGGGATGGGTGATTCACAATGCATAAGGTGGTGGCTTGGGCTGATACACCGGGTGGTATACATGGCTGACAAGGACTGTCGACCAATCCAGAGGTCTCACGGACCCGTCAGGGTTTGCTTCGCCAGACGAAACATGGCTGGATTGATTACATGGTAGTACACGTCGGCGTTTGTGAACTTGTCCGCTGGTAGGCAGTCTTTGGTGGGTGGGAAGTAGGCTCAAGTTGAGAGACAGAAAGGTTGATACTATCCACATACCCTGGTACGTGGCTACCTTGTGTACTACGTACCTAGGCACGGTAGGTAGGTGGGCTGGCTAAGATTTGTGCGTGCCCATGCCACTCACATTCTTGTTGACAACATTGAACATATCTGGCACTACCCTCAGCGTGATGTTTAAGTTGTGACAAAGACTCATTTGACAGCTACCGCATAGATTCTCTAATTATAGTACCATGATAGAGTAACAGTAGCGCTTCTAAATATTCACCACTTGCTAACAAACCACATGTGCTCTTGGCTGCAGGGCGAGGATTTCTGCATTGTTGATCGAGAGGGGGATATAGGGTAGGATCACGTGCTCTAGCAGAGGAGCAGCTAGAGGGCTCTCCATTTGTCACCAATTCCAGCAGATGATGAGTGCACTTCAAGAAGCCCGTTCGCCACTGTGATGGTAAGCGTGCCAATTGGGGTTCTGGGTATCTAGTTCGTTTATTTCGTTTGGCTGAGAATCTGCTCGTTGATATTGATCCAAAAATCCTGCTCGGGTAACCCCAGCAGCCGCTTTTAGCTTCAACGCAACAGACAATCACATGGGGATCGACCTGGGCCTCACCCAGGACCACCCATAGCCCTCCATGCGTAAACCTATCCTGCGGATACCATACACCGATATCCTCCCCCCTCCCTTGATCATCCCTGCCTCGGCCAGCACACTCGCCGGCGCAGTAGCCGCTCTGCGGACGTTTTTCGCCGCCCCCACACCGGAGCATCTGCCGTCGCCCAAGACTGTTGTCCTGACCGGCGCCGGACTCTCCGTCGCCTCTGGGTTGGCAGACTACCGAGGGGTCAAGGGCACCTACCGTGTCAACAAGACGTATCGGCCCATCTACTATCACGAGTTTCTCAGCAATCACGAGGCACGCAAGAGGTACTGGGCAAGAAGTTTCTTGGGCTGGTCTAGTCTACACAAAGCTGCTCCCAACCCTGGGCACTTTGCAGTGAGGGACCTTGCAAATCTGGGTCTCGTACAGAGCGTTATAACACAAAATGTGGATTCCTTCCATTCCAAGGCTCATCCTCGTGTGCCCACGCTGGAGCTACACGGTTACCTGAGGTCGACGGTGTGCACCACCTGCAGGTCCGAGTTCTCCCGTGATGAATTCCAGGCAGAGCTTGCCAGGCTAAACCCACGATGGGCGGCATTGCTCCAGGAGGCCATCGAGTCCGGCGCTTTGGACAGGGGTGAGACCGATGAAGCCAAGTTCAAGGGGTTGAGGAGTAACCCTGACGGCGATGTCGACTTGCCGGACGCTCCGTACACCACATTCAGGTACCCCCCGTGTCCCAAGTGCTTGGATCGCCCACCCGTAGGGCCAGATGGTCTCAAGCACAATGTGCGCGTGGATGGAGAGGGTGCCTGGAAACTGCCTAGCACGGCGGGCATCCTTAAACCCGCAGTGGTCATGTTCGGAGAGAACATCGCTAGCCATGTCAAGAATAATGCCGAGAAGGCTGTCGACCAAGCCGGGAAGTTACTGGTCCTTGGAACCTCCCTTGCCACGTATTCCGCGTGGAGGATCGCCAAGAGAGCCAAGGATAGGGGGATGCCAATTGCCATAATAAACATGGGCGGAGTGAGAGGCGAGGAGCAGTTTTTCACGGACCTCGACCCCAGCCAGCAAGGCGACCGAGCCGTGAGGACCGGTCTGTCTACCGACGAGATTCTCCCTCTGCTGGTATCAGAGCTGAGGCAGACCATGGCAGATAATTCACCAATTTCATCAACGGCAGGACCTCTGGAGAATTCGGGGGTCTTCAAAGAGATGTTATCTTAGTGGAGTGGGTTCTTTTGCAAGTAATTTTTTGTTTATCAGCTTAGACATAGATTTCTTAGAATTCATTTAGAAGAAATTGCCAAAGCCGGCACCGGGTTTACCAGTGGTGTTCGACGTGCTCGAAGGAGTCTGCTGCTCTTGCTGCTCCTGCTGCTCCTGCTGTTTCGCCGGCTTCGTCCTTTGTGCGGGCGCGGGTTCTTCCATAGGCGCAGCTGACTGCTTCGATTTCTCGGGTTTGGAAGCCTTCTTCGGGGCATCTCCTCGCTCGATCGACCGTAGAACTTGAAACACAACCCGGTTAGCCTTGACGGACTCTCTTGACCTTGATGCTCCGACCTGTGTGGGCAGTGACGTACCTTCTTCCCAGTCAGCCTCCTTCTGGGCGTTCCCCGTGCCCAGAGCCGCCTCAACGTCCACACTCTCCCCGTTCTGTATCCTCTCCACCACCTCTCTGAGCTGCGCTATCTTGATCTCGGCCGAGCGCATGTACCGCTGGAAGGAATTGCGCACGGCAATCATCTGGATCGCCATGGAGCCGATCAGAAGGAACATGACGATGAAGAAAGTCGCCGGGTTCCATTGCTTCTTGGGGCCCTTCTTGGCGGCAGCCTCGCGGTACTCCTTGCGAAGCGGCTTCGGGATGAGGTTTCGCCAGAAGTCACGGTCGACAATGGTTGCCGGTGCCGAGCTTGCGAACCGACGGGTGCGGGCTTGTCCTCGTAGCACTGCCGGTGCTGTCGCAGGAATATAGCGCAGAGCACCTCTCGATGAGGCCCGCAGTAGTGATCGTTCCAACATGACTGTCTTTGTTGTGCTCTTCGTCTCGGGCTGATTACAACATCTGCACCGGTGCCATCCAGAAAATTTCCAATGTCCAATTAACGTTGGCTGGATCCAGGTCCAGGGTAGTCTTGGCGAGCCGTGCACGGACCATTTCCAGCAAGTTCCTGCCGGTTGCCCCAGACAACAGAGATCCGATGTTTAGCCCGGCCTATTTTGGGGCAAAGTAATTACTAACACCAAGAGCGAAACACCGCTTCTTTACCTCGGAGCTGTATCGTGCATATTGAACATTTCAGCCATTGTAGCTGGTAGATAGCATTTTTGTAGGACCAAGCTCTGGACCGTCTTTTGCTTTCTATTTTTCCCATGTTTTCTTAACGTTTCTTACTTGCCTTCTCTCCACATAACAGAAAAGCATGACAGTATGCTTTAGACGGAGAAGCTCCTACACATTTCCAGCATGGCTTCATTACAAGCACAGGTCGATGGCGTGAAGGCGGCCGTCGCATCACCCTCGACCTGCACACCAACCACCGTCGTGATACTCAAGAAGCTGCTCCTTCCCGAACCTGGCGAAATAAGCTCCACGACAACCACCAAACAATCTACCGCTCGAACGACCAAAGCGACCGCGAAGACGACGAAAACAAAGCTCGATGCGACCGCCGCTTCCAAGGAGGGGCTGAGTCCCAAGGATAGGACGGCACTGGCCACACATGTAATAAATGCGACCATCAAGTCTCTCACCGAAGCTACGAAGCCCGCGCCGCCAGCCACGCCCTCTCGCCGGTCTGTCGAGGCCCCCGCGGATCAACAGTCTGCTAGCCGGCCAAGGACGCTGCGGCGGTCGGTATCTGCGCCCCTCTCGCCGCTACAGCCCAGGACCCTGAACCGAGTCGCGACCTCACCCAACATCGCCGCCAAGGCAGCCAAATCGGCAATGGCCAGCCAAGTAGCCAGGATGGGCGCGACGGTCGAGTGTTCTCGCCTCGCGTTCGCTTGCCTGCGGTCTGTCAAGGGTCCCATTAAAGTCGATCAGACCGATTTCCAGATAGAGAGTGGCATGTCGTTGTTGATCACCAAGCTTGTTGCCCTGGGCTTTAGCGAGTTCGCCATCAAAGAGCTGAGGATCCTCAAGCGCAGGTTGGAAGGGCGCGCAACCTCGGACAGCGGTTCCTCCAAGTCCGAGTCCCAGACCGTATGCGACCTGCTCGATTTCCAGAAGATTGCCTCCCCAAACAGTCTCTCGATTGTTGCCGCCTGCCAGATCCAAGCTCTCAAGCTGATTTCCTCTGCGAAGAAGCCAGCGCATGTCGAAGGTGTCGTTCCTTTCCTTCGCGAGTTGAGTCCACTCTCGCCATTGAATATTTTGCCCAAAATCGCCCAAGGAGGGGAAAGTCACGCGTCCAAGGCCGCTCGCCAAATGGCAACTCTCTGCCAGACTCTGCTCTCCATGGCGCCCAGTGTCTCAAGCAGCGAGGATGAGGTCGCGCTGGAGCCTCGATTGAGCGCTGCTCCCATAATTGCTCTCGAGCTTCAGATACTGGCCTTCAAGACTCAGCTTAGGTGGTGGAAGATTGCCGGCCACAAGGGCAAAGTGGAGGAAGAGCTGTTGTCTCCATACTCGCGATGCCTCAAGTGTTTTGTTCGACGCCAGCTGGCTATTGATGCTTCTGCCTATCAGATGCTTTCAACCTCCTACGACGATATCATGTCTCTCATCCGATCCCAAAAGTACGAGCCCGAAACGAAAATTGGTTCCCCCATGGCGTCCGTCTATCAATCCCTCGGCGCCGCCGCCCAGGGCGCCCGACAGTACGAAGTCGCTTTCCAATGGTTCAGTATTCTGCGGGATCTCGTCCGACCCGATCATGAGTCGTCAGTCTGTGTTTCTTCGGCCTCTGCTCGACTTCTCTCGGTGGCCTTGAAACGATCTCGATTAACGCTTGACGACGAGCGCCTGATCCAAGAGGTGATAGCTGGACTGAATTCGCCGTTGAGCGGCACTTCTCAGGAGGTCAACGATCTCTTGGAGAGTCTCTCCCAGGCGAGGCGCTCAGTCGCAGGATTGTTGATGAAAGCTTGGAACGACTCCAATCTGGTGACAGGTGCCATGGCAAGGCTGCTCCAAGATTTCATTGTCAAGTTCCCTCGGTTTGTTGCTCGTTGGCTTGGCGCGCCCCCTGGTAAAGGCAGCTCAGCAAAACAGCTGCTTCAGTTCGACTCTAGACGGACAATCGTCATGCAATCAATCAACCAGGTCTTGGACGCGACGCTGATGGTCGTCAAACGCCAAATCCAGTCTGGCTCCGATGTTTGGGATTCCGTGAATGAGATCCTGCACGATTGCCGTCTTCTGTTAAGCAATGCCCACGACCCTACAGTCTCCTCTTCGCAGCTCTCGGCTTATTACACAAAGATCTCGACTCTCTATTTCTCTATGTTTTCTCAGCATCGCAGAAAGGCTGGGCAGTCAAAAGCAGATAAGAAGCGGGCATATCAGGCGCTGAATGCATCTATCGACACCATAAAGGACAACTCTTTAGCGGATAAGGAGCAGGCCCAGTTCACAACAAAGCTGGAACTTCTCGCTGACTTCTGCAAGGCGGCAGGTAGGAACGAAGATGCAGTGAAGAGTCTCCGATCCATCTGTACACACCTGATTGAGGATGGTGTCTTGGCTGACGTGACGACTGCCCTGGCCGCTCATTCTCCACGCGTCGCTTGGGGGATGGCAGAGAAGGCATCAACCCTGTCGCGCGCTTTGCGGTCCATTGCTAGCCTCGACGACTCGTGGAATGACTGGACCTTCTTTCTCCCAGAGGCCGAGCGCGCCACAGTCCTGGAACACCTTGTCCATATCAGCACCGAAGTTACGAGTCAGAATAAACCGCTCCAACTTCACGATCCAGGAATGGCTGCTCTACTCCGAATCCTGACTGCTGAGAGATTCCCTATCCGGCGCTTGCGTGTCCTCTTCTTGCTCCTTGCTCAGCAGCTTGGTAGACACGATAGCACCGATGACGTTGCTACTCTAATCGACCAAGCATTCAAACACCTCCAGAAGGATCTTGCTGAAGATGCTGGACTTGCTTCCTTTGTCCCTCATTTTCGGAACTACAACATTTCTCTCACCGCTCTTGGCAGCGCTGAGGACAAGTTCCCTGCATCTGCGTTAAAGGACTGTATCCAAGCATGGTCTAGGATGATGCAAAGTTGCGAAACTCAAGACCAAATCAAGGCTGTAATCGATGATCCTGAAGGCCTTCTCGACCATCTCCTGGCAGCAAACCACCTGGCAGGCCTGAGGGGGGAGACCGCTCTGCAGGTCTCAATCCTGGAGCTTTGCATAATCATTGCAAAGGCCTGTCGGAGCTCGAACGAGGATGACTTGATTTTGTATCATTGCTACCTTGCGTCGCAGTATGTTTCTACTGGCCTCTTTAACAAAGCGTCCGCGACACTCAACGAAGCAAAGCAACTCATCAAAGAACGACAAGATGCTGCGCCGAGGGTCATGATCGACTATTACCTCTCCCAAGCAGAATACTCGGCCGGGATTAACCAGACTCAGCAGGCCATGGTATGCCTCAACAAAGCCAACGATATTCACAGTGCCCCCTCCTCTTCGTGGAGTACCTTCAAAGCCCAGGCTACTCTATTGCGTTCGCAAGCTTCTCTTGCGCAGTCGGTGGTGGCTCTCCAGAAGGGTGATCTGCAGGCGGCCTTGAAATGGGGTCGGCAATCCGTCAAGACGCTCTCATCAGAATGGAACTATCTTGATGGTCCCTCTATGAGTCCCAGCGCGCAGCCCGAGCCGAGTTTGGCGGAAAGCGTTCTCGGGAAGGCCAGTGCCAAACCACCTTCGCCGGCTGTTTTCGGTACCCGGTTGTGGGTTCTTGCCGCACCGCTCATGAAGAGCCTCCTGCAAATATCCTCGGTTTATTCGCACATTGGGATGTTCCAGGAGACCATTTATTTTGCTGAAACTGCTCTCCGCGTTGCCGACGCGACCCGCTCATCCATGTACGAGGCCGAGATCAAGTCCTGGATAGCATCGCAATATGCCAGAGCAGGGAACCTGGAGAAGGCTCTGCCATACCTCCAGGGAACGATTGATTGTGTCCCCAACGACGCCTCTGCTACCCGTGCACGGCTTGCCAGACAGCTTGGCATCGCCTTTCAGCAGATGGGCGAGGAGGAGCAGTCTTTGGAGTATATGAAAATGGCGGAAGAGACAGTGCACAGCTTAGCTCGTCTTGGCGACATAACGGCAGAGGATACCAATACATCGACTGCTATGGCTACCAAGGGACGACGCGGAGTTGCCGCGACAAAGCGGCCAGCAGCAACAAAGACCACCAGAGCCAGAGCTGCAACGACAACCGCCCGAGCCACAAAGCGAGCTCCCGCAACCAAGTCAAAGGCGGCCCCTGCCCAGGAAATCACCCCGAGAGTCCCTACCGACGTATATCAAGCATCTCTACTGGCATCTATCATCCTTGCACGAGCCGTGAGCTCCCTTCAACAGCAAGATTGGGCTTCCGTGTCTGCTGCACTCGAATCAGTGAGGGAACTGCCTAAGCTCTCTGAGTCCTCCTTTATGGAGCAACTTATTCTTGCTAGCCAACATATTGGGATGAGCATGGAGAAGATGATCCAGGATCCCGTTTTTTCCGTGATGCAGGACTCGACGATCTCATTCCCAGCCGTTGTGCAAGGGGCCACGGACAAGCCTTTAGGCGACAAATGCCAGTCTCCTCCACGAAAGGGTCGGGCTGCTTTGACCAGCAGCAGGGCTTCTAAGGAGGTAGGCACACCGGCATTTGCTGATGCATTGAAGCAGGCACAGGAAGTCTTGCTCGATGCCCAGGAAGTTGCTTTCTCGTGTGGTGACAATGGCATGCTGCACAGGATCTCCAGCCTGTTGCAAGGAACGGTCATCTCCCTCACCGCAGCATCATCGCCCAAGATCAAGGCCATGATCCGGTCAGATCTCACAACTGTGGCCGTGGAATTGGCCCGAAATGCAGCCTGGAAGCGAGAACAATTGACCCTACAGGTTACTCCATCGGCTGCCGATGCAACCCAGACGTCGGAGAGGGAAGACTCACCTTCCCTCGCTACTAAGATGGAGAATCTGAGCCTCACGGCCGATATGGCCAGTTTCCAAAACCAGTTCATTGAAATGGTCCCTGAAAACTGGAGCGTCATCTCCATGTCCTTGAGCGAGGATCAGCATGATCTTTGCATTACCAAGTTTCAGGCCGGCCACAGCCCGTTCATTCTGCGTCTTCCTTTGGAGAGAGCCAACTCGCGAGATGCCGACTCGGAGATTTTCAACTTCTTCCATGGCCGCCAGGAACTCCTCGAAATTATCAAGATGGCCAACGAGACCAGCCATTCCTCACGAGATCTCACCACCAAGGCCGCGAGGAATGCTTGGTGGGCTGAGCGAGAAGCGCTTGATGGGAGACTGAAAGAGCTTCTAATGGCTGTGGAGACTACTTGGCTGGGAGGCTTCAAGGGTATTTTTTCGCAGCACAAGAGACAGTCTGACCTTCTGGCTCGATTTCAAAAGACGTTCCAGCAGATCCTTGGCAGAACACTTCCATCCAGGACCAAGGCGCGGGGCAAGAGGACGACAGCCAAGGCTCCTCCTGCCATTACGCTGGACCCCCGAATCCTGGACCTCTTTGTTGGGCTAGGAGACCCAAGTGAGCCCGATTGCGATTTTGACGAAGCTCTCAATGATCTCCTCTACTTTGTGATAGACATCCTGCAGTTCCACGGAGAGAGGAATGCCTACGATGAAATCGACTTTGATGCCATGGTCGTGGACATGTACGATGCTCTACGAGGATACTACCAGGCTACGGAGGGTGATGGCAGGCGTGAAGAAGATGCCCACACCGTGCTGGTCCTGGATAAGGCGCTCCATGCGTTCCCCTGGGAGTCTCTTCCATGCATGGACGGTCTCGCGGTGTCCCGAGTGCCATCATTGGCATGCCTGCAGCGGCTATTGAAGGAAGCAAAGATGCCACAGGCGACGGCTCAGCAGTCCAAGGGCCACTACGTCTCGACTGAGAACGGCACGTATATGCTCAACCCATCCTCGGACTTGAAGAATACCCAGAGCTATTTCCAAAAGTCGTTCGGCGAGCTCTCGTCTTGGAAGAGCATCGTTAACAAGGCACCCAAGGAAGAAGAGTTTGAGAATGCGCTCTCGACCTCAGATGTCCTGCTGTACTTTGGCCACGGAGGTGGTGCTCAGTACATCCGCGGCAAGACCATCCGCCGCCTCGAGAAGTGCCGCCCCGCCACGTTCCTCATGGGATGTAGCTCGGCCGCGTTGACGGACGCGGGAGAGTTTGAGTGCTACGGCCCCGTGTGGAACTACCTCGTCGCCGGGTGCCCTGCCGTTGTTGGCACTCTCTGGGACGTCACAGACAGGGACATTGACCGTTTCGCCGGGCGCGCCTTTGAAGAATGGGGCCTGTTCAGGAAGGGAACGTTCAAGGAGGCGGACAAGGGGAAGGGCATTGCCAAGGGTCCGGCAAAGACGGACGAAGAGGCCGGTAGGCTCGTGTCTGGGGCATCTCTTTCTGAGGCGGTGGCTCGCGCGCGAGATGCCTGCCGGATGAGATATCTCAACGCGGCGGCGGTGGTGATGTACGGAATCCCTGTGTATATTGAGAGGGAGGTGGAGGAGGCTGCATGAAGATAGATACCTGGTCGCCTTTTTTTTTTTTTTACTTATCCTTCTCACGAATGGAACGAAGAGTACGCGCATAGCGGGCGGCGTTGGCTATTCATCCTTTTGGCATAACGTGTTATTTTTTGTTTATTGGGACTTTAGACTTTATAATGTTTGATGATAGAACAGATAATGTTACTCCTTTTATAATATGATACATCCTAGAACGAATCGGTGGTGGAGTCGTCTGGCGAAATATGCAACTCGCTCATCGTCAGGACAAGGAATTAGAGTACATGAGAGTGAATTCGACGACAAGTAGCTACTCTTCCAAAGAACCCGTGTAATTAACTCGCTCTGTAAAGAACCTAGTGTATTGAATATTTATCTGGTATCTGTAAATCCTCACTATCAAGACAAGTCTCCAGTTCCCTCCTTTTCCTTTTGTTGTCTTACGCCTCAGCGGCCTCGGCCTCGCCGTCACCCTTCTTCTTCCCCTTGGACCTCTTCCTCTTCTTTTTCGACTCGCCCACTTCACCAACGATGTTACTCTCCTTCTTCTCTTCGGGCGCCACGAGCCTCGCCTCGCCGGACGCCTCCGCCTCGGCGGCGAACTTCTCGAACCCGTAGGTGGGGCCCTCCCGCTCAAACTCGCGGCCGAACGTGTCGCGGCGCCACTGCCTGAGCCGGGCCTTCTTGTTCAGCCTCTTGCGGTCGCGGCGCTTCTTCTCCTCGTCGCGGAAGGTGGCGAGCTTCTTGAGGCCGGCGAAGTCGTTGAGGGCGCTGTCCGAGGGGGCGAGGAGGATGTCGCGGGCGGTCATGCCGAAGGACTGCGGCGACGTCTCGCGGTACCGGAAGGGGGCGTGCGCGGCGGCCGACTTGGAGAGGAGGTCGTGATGGGTGAGCTCGAGCTTGGAGTCGACGAGGGCCTCGAGCTTCGTGCGGTCCTTGCGGGCTTGCTTCTGGGACTCGAGGCGCTCTCGCTTTTGCTCCTTGGCGCTCTTGCGCTTCTTGGCGGGGGGCTCGTCGTCGCCCTCGTCGTCATTTGCATCTTCGGGTTCTTGGCCTTCGCTATCAGACAGTGTGATCTTTGGTTGGTCCTCTTCGTCGTCGAAATCAGGTACTAGGTCCTTGATGTCGATGTCGTCGTCCCACTTGGGCTTCTTGGGTTGTTTTCTCTTCTTGTCCTCGGCTTCCTCGTCGTCAGAGGCCGCGGCATCGGCATCGCCCATGGCGTAGTAGTCATCGCCGAATCGCTTGCTCATCTCCTCTTCCCACTTGTCATCCTCCCATGCGTCGTCAAGGAACTTCATCCAGTCCTCGTCCTTGAGTTCTACGCCGGTAGCCCCGGCCGCCTGCCTGACCTTGCGGAGCTTTTGTTCCGTCTCTCCAAGTTTTAACTTGCGCAGGCGGGCTTTGTCCTCCCTCTTCTCCCGCTTTTCGGCCTCCTTCTGCTCCTTCTCGAGCTCTCGGCGACGACTTCTGACCGTCTTGTCTTCACGACGCACGGATCGCGCAGCTGTGATGTCTCGAGCATACGACTTGAGGACCTCGTTGCTCTTTGCGGGGTCTTCAAACCGCAGGTTGTATGCCTGCTCAAACTCGTCGGCCTTGTTCTCTTCCTCGTCATCGTCGGATTCGAAGGCCTTCCACCTGGCCTCGCCGTCGTCGCCAGGCAGCCACGCTCGGGCTGACAAGAAGTTGGACAGGAAAGTCTCCGGATCGCGGTCGGCACTCTCGACATCGAGATCCTTAACCTTCTGCTTCTTGACCCTCTTGGCTCTCGCTGGGTGGACGCCGCTATCATCCACCTTGGCTGGTTCCTTGCGCTTCATGAAATCATCGCCGTCTGAATCGGACTCTCCATTCTCAGCGTCGGCGTTGTGCATCTCCGACACAATGGACTTTTTCAGGTCATCCTGCTGCTGTGTAAAGGTTGCCGGGGCTGCCTCCTCCTCATCGTCATCGGCGCCGACATCGCCACGCATGAACTTTTCACGGTGGTAGTCCTTCAGATAAACTGGCTGCTCCTTCTTTTCCTTCTTAGGGGCTGCGCCTGCATCTTCTTCCTTGTAGAACGTCACATCCTTGTCATAGACTCTAGGATCCTTGTTCTTGATGGCCTGAAGGGTGGCGGAGATCTGTGCGTCAAGGTCTTCGGTGGCGAGGAAGCCGTCTTCATCCTCACTCTCGTCTGTGGAAGATTCGTCGTCTTCGTCGTTGGCGTTCTTACGGGAGGCGTCCTTCTTGTACTTTTCCTCCACTGTTGCATTGTTAGCTTGTCCAACAACGATGTTGTACCAACGCCCAACCTACATCGGTGCAGCTCCTCTCGCTTCTTGTTGTGTTCGAATCGGCGGGCGTATTCCTCGTTCACCTTGAACCCGCTCTCCTGGATCTGGGCACCTCCATCGCCGGAATCCGAGTCGCTGTCGTCGAGGAGTTTCCGTTTGGCTGGTGCAGAGGAACCCATGGCTGGTTGCGACAATTGGCCGGCTTTAGGAGACGTCTGTTGCGCGATGAGTTTCCCCTTTTTGCCAAATGAGTGATCGAGTTAGAGCAAGAGCAATTGCAAAGAAAAGAAACAAGACGAGCTTTGCGAGAATGTGCGCCGATGGATCGCTAGTATGGGCTTGGCTAATCGTCAAATGCTACCAACTTTTTTTTCCGTCAACGCTTCCATCACTGCCCACCATGATTTTAATGTGGGGCAACCGGCGCAACCATGTGCTTTTCTGCCGGATTGAAAATTTTGGCGGTGAGAGCTCGGGCCAGGGTCAACCTTCCACCGATCTGTAGCTGCGCCCCACCTGCCTCAGGTGGCTGTGCTCAACCCAACCTTCACTTGACAATGTTTAGAGTCGTGCTAGTGTGATGGGTGATGACGGGGTCCGGTGGCTGGTACTACTTTTAGGTCCAGGCCCGGCTCCAGTACCAGTACATGGGCGGCCATGGGAATCTGCCATCAATCCGTGTTAGAGGCAATTAATAATACCCATTTGAGAGTAGGCAAGTTACGGATGGTATCTGTCAGTTGATTTTAGTAGGAACTGGTACCTTTGATTGACCTGCTGGGGCTTCCACTTCCCGAAGGCGCTGGAGCTCGTTGTCGGTCTACGTACGAGCCCTTCGTCATCGGAGCGAAGTACCTGGTGAGCTAACTTCCACTGCCTGGCTTCCAGCAATATCCTCGCTCAACTTAACCTTCTGCCTCATCCATGCAGCAACAGGGCCCCATTTTCCTAGCCACCCAAACATCTTCGCCGTGATCTCCAGAGTAACCTGGTCTCTTTGCTTCCCTTCTTATCCGACCACAGCGCTCGCCCGAACCACATCGACACGTCACTCGCTGCAAGGCACCATCTTTCAGCTCTCGCCTCTGTTGGCTCCAGATCTTGTCGCATCCCATCCCATCCACCAATTGCTCTACATTCCTCAAATCGAGCGCCTCGAACCCTACTCGCATCGCGGCCGTGATTCTTACATTTTATATCTCTCAAGGGATAGAAAAAGACAATCATGTCTGATTCCGCAAATGCCCCCAAGCCTAGCAGCAGCGTCAAGCTGGTTCTGCTCGGCGAAGCCGCTGTTGGAAAGGTGGGAAATATTTGCTATTCTGCAGCAGTCTCAATCGGATATTGAACTAACCATACTGCCTGCAGTCTTCGCTCGTACTGCGCTTTGTCAACAACGACTTTCAAGAAAACAAGGAACCCACTATCGGTGGTATGTAGCTTGCCTTTCCCATGCTATTGGTAGCATGATGTTGCATGAAACGTATTTGTTCTAACTCTTTGCTCCTACGCAGCCGCCTTTTTGACCCAAAAGTGCAACCTCCCTTCGCGCACAATCAAGTTTGAGATCTGGGATACTGCAGGCCAAGAACGATTTGCCTCCCTCGCACCCATGTACTACCGCAACGCCCAAGCCGCCCTCGTCGTGTACGATCTTACCAAGCCCACCTCTCTTGTCAAGGCCAAGCACTGGGTCGCCGAGTTACAACGACAGGCCTCACCCGGAATCGTAATTGCTCTTGTCGGAAACAAGCTGGATTTGACGACTGAAGCCCCCACCGCGGACGTGGATGGCACCGACGGTGATGACTCGGGAGATGCGCGCAAGATTTCAACAGAGGAGGCGAAGACGTACGCCGAGGAGGAGAGCTTACTGTTCTTCGAGACCAGTGCTAAGACGGGACACAACGTTACCGAGGTATTTACAGCGATTGCCAATGCAATCCCCGAGACGTCTCTGAAGACCACGCGCGGAACCGGCGGTGCCAACGCAACAAGCCGGGCTGGTGATGAACAGAGGGTGAACTTGGGAGGGAACCGGGACGCTGGGGCCAAGGATTCATGTGCTTGTTAGAAGAAGGAATGGGCTTTTTTTTATTTCTCTTTTTGTTTATACTGCGATGATATGATATGGGTGTTTTGCGGATGGGAGGGCAAGGCTCTCCCCAGGGGGTCTATGCGGGGGATCTTGTTTCCAGCAGAAGATTCAGTATTCTTTTTGTCTTTGAGCCTCCCACGGGGTGTGATTCCTTTCATTTCTCTTGTTTGGCCAGTCGTCTGTCTATCATAGCATTCCATAATGCAAGTGTCACTTCGCTTGGTACTCTAAGAGGCCGTATTTGGCTCCGCGCTTGCAATTGCCCAGGTGCTAATAGGGCATCTGCCTAAGAATGTCTTCGGAACACAATTCGATGCATGATTTGAACCTAAATGATCCTAATAATGGCCTCTGACTATTTTCGTATAGCTTAAACTGCTGCCTCGAGCCCACCCGCGTAAGCTCCGTCGTCATGACGGCATCACGCAGCGGTTCGCCACCAGGCATTCCCGGGAGGCCAGTCGAGAATTGCCAAGTGGTGCATGCAGGTAAGCCTGTGGATTTCCAGCCAATGTGCGATAAAATACATGTAAACGATCCAATGCTCGTCGGCAACCATTCATGTACCGCCTCTGCGTCAGAGGTGTGGCACGTGACCGCCCTGCCAAAAGCCAAGTCCCAGCAAATGAACGGCGTTGGTCAGCTTTCAGTTTCTGGACTTTGTGGCGGCAGTTCCTTTGTCGAAGTGGGCGACCCACTTATCTTTTTTGGCGGCGCGTCAACTGCAAACTCCTCATCATATTCACATTCATTCATTCTACCTACATCCATGAATGCTGCCTTGCTCTCATGCGCTTTGCAAGGTCGTCCTCTCATCTTGACAGTGGTGTCAAGATCGCCGTCTAATATTCTATCACATCATCTCTAATTACCTTCCCGCCGTGCCCACCTCCACCCGACATCTCTCTGGCGATCGAGGACTCGAGCAGCATAGTTAGACAGCAACGGTTTCCACCACCCATGAAGTGCCCTCGCAGGACTTAGCGTTGTGCCGACGACATGGCTTCGTCCAACACCGAGGCCCAGGCCGAGCTCATCAGGTTCGCCAATGCTTCCCGCGTTCGGGAGAATCCCAAACCACAGACTAACACGAGTCCCAGCTCACTGGCACCCGATGACATCCCAATCAAGCTGCGATGCGCTATCTGCAGCAAGCTCGCCGTGAATGCCTTCCGGCTGCCATGCTGCGAGCAGGCCATCTGCGAGACCTGTATGTTTCGTATCTAGCCTCTCTCGAGCTCACCACCGTTACTAACCCTCCTGCCAGGCCAGTCCAACCTGCCTTCGTCATGCCCCGTCTGCGAGCACTCTCCACTGTCGGCCGAAGATTGTCACCCTAATAAATCGCTGCGAACGACGATCAAGGTCTTTCTCCGCACAGCTGAGAAGAAACGGGAAGCTCAGCGTGCCAAGGAGGCAAAAGAATCCGCGCCCCCGACCCCGATTGAAGCTCCCAAGCCGCAGATACCCTCGTCAGAACAAGCTGCACCTGAGGCCACCGCCATCAAAGCTCCGAACGGAGAAGCACAGCCTGGCGAGCAGCAGATCCCTGCGCCCAAGGAGGAGTCAGAGAATGCGCTGGCCCAACCAGCTGATTCGGTATGTCATTATTGTCTCTTCTCGAATGGAATCCACCCAGAATGGTGCACTAACTTTTGCTCTTTTATGCAGACCGAACAGACTGCCGATCCCGAAACAGCTGAGCAATCCAACAAGACCGACTCTGCTCTTGTCGCACAGACTGATGATGAGAGGCAAGGTCAGGAAAACGATGGCCCCAATGATCAGGAAGCCGTCCCAGAAGGCGAGGGCGAGGACGAGCAAGGAAACGGCGAGGGTCAGCAAAACTTCAACACAGAGGCGATGAATGGTGGATTCCCAAATATGAACTTTGGGCAAGGAGGAGGCGACTACAACCAGCAGATGCAGATGATGATGGCAATGCAGAATGGTATGGGGTCGAACTTCAATATGATGGGTACGTGTCAGCTCCAGGGTTTTGCCCGGTCTCCCGACTTGTGGACGAGCAACGCTAACATGGCTTCGTTCTCACAGGCATGCCAGGAATGGGCATGGACCCCATGATGATGCAGAACATGTACATGAACGGTGGCTTTCAAGGCATGGGCATGAACGGCATGGGGGGCTTTGGAGGAGGGTATGGCCAAGGCACCAATAATAACTGGAACGGAACACAAGCGTGGAATTTCGACCAGAATAATTACAATCAAAATGTTCCTGGCATGGGAACCGGTGACTTTGGGAATTTTAACTCAGGATTCCAGACAGGATACAATCAAGGCAATTATGGTCATCAATTTAATGACTATCGCCGCAACAACTTTGGACGTGGTCGGGGTCGAGGTCGTGGCTTCTATGGCGGTGGTGGCTATGGCTACGGCCGTGGTGGTTTCCAACAGCAGCAGCAACAGCATGGCCAGACGGGCTTCAACCAGCAGCTGCAGCTTCAGCAGGGTCAGCATATGCAGCAAGGGAACCAGAACCCCCAGGACCAGAATGAGGCTGCCGATAGTAATCCACAAGGCGACGAGTATGGCCGTGATGCTCGTCCCGAGGGCGCCGAGGAAGGCGGCGAAGGTGCCGCGGAGGGCGCTGGCCCAGGACAAGATCCCAATCAAAGTGGTGTGAGTTCTGAAGCCGGAAACCAGGATCCCAATGGACTAGCATCTCGTGAGGCTCCAGGCAGTGAAACGGCTGCCAGTGCAGCAGAGGATGCCGCCGCATCCAGTGGCCCTGGTGTGGTAAATCGTCCCGTGCAGCCTGTCCCTGAGGTGCCGATCAACGCGCCAACAGGTCCCAAGGCAATGCGTCAAGGTCTACCTAACACTAGCCTCCATAACCTGCGGGCGCGTGGCTACCAGGTGGACAACGCTCCGCGGCCCTCGTCCTCGAGTCAGCACCAGGCAAGTCCCGCTCCCGAGCGACCCCGTTCGAGAAGTAGATCTCCTCAGCGTGACCGCGAGCGTGAGAATGACCGGGATCGTGACCGTGACCTTGACCGTGATCGCAGCAAAGAGCGGTCTAATGGATATGACAGACGCGACAGGGACGGTGAAGACG